TGCTCAAAGGAGAGGAGGCCTGGCTTTGAGCAGTGGTGGGAGAGACTTTTCAGTTCCCAGGTGGCCCCACCCTCTCTGCTTCCCCTCCCTCCACTGATGTTCTCAGCCTTTCCTCCAGACAGGGCGCTGGGCAGGGCTGCCTCCCTGCTTGTGCAGGCACATGCCCATCAAAGCCACCTACTGTCTGTCTCTGGAAGTTTTGCCACACTGAGGGGGCATGTGAGGTAGGACCCTCCCTAAAGCTGGCCAGAGGCAGAGGACAAGATTACTGGTGCTGAGCTGCCTGGGTTCACCAATTCAGCTGCATCAGTCTCCCTGCCCTGGACCGGAGCTCCCTGTCTCTGAACTGGACAAGAATAGCTGACGTCCCTGGAGTGCTGTGGGGTTGGGAATAAGCCACTGGCAATAGAAACGGCTCACAGTGGATGAGCCATGTATGTGGGAAGAGTTTACTTACATGTCATTGACTCTCACAACCCTGTGCGCCAGAATCTGTTATTATCCCATGTTACGTTTGGGAACCAGGCTGAGAGTTAGATGTGTGATTCTACACTCTGGGAAGGGAGCAGGGGACAGTAGGCTTTGCCTCTTCCTGGAGGTGGACCCTGCTCTGGATGGGCCTGGCCTTCAGGGACTGGTTCTCCAACTCCCACCTAGCTCTTTGAGAGAGGAACTCGTCCCTTCCTTTTCCTCTCTACCCCCCCCCCCAAATTTTGGGGACTTGTTTTGAGTGCCTTACAGCTTCCCCTGGAGCAGCTGTTTATCTCCCAAACAGGCTTCAGTTTAGGCCTGTGCTCCTGAACAGAGACTCTAGGAGGGCAGAAGCCACTGATCCAGGGGCATTACCTGCTGCTCCCCACCATTCCAGCCACGTGGGTCTCCTGTGAATTTCTAGAAAGAGCCTGCACCTTTCTTGCCTCAAGTCTGTTCTTGCTATTCCTTCTCCACTTATTGGCTGGGGGACTTTAGGCAATCCATTTAACCTCTCTGGGCTTTTGCCTCATTGGCAAAATGAAATGATAGTACCTACTTTACGTGCTTATTGTGAAGATTGAGTTGATATACTGTATATAAACCCGCTAGTACAATGCCACCTACAGTGACTGTTCCTTTTGCCCAGATCTCTGTTCTTCTCTTGGCTTCTCCTCCTCCAGGTCTCAGCTCAAGGTCATCTCTTCAGAGAGGCTCTCCCGGAGCCCCTGTCACTCTCAGTCCCCTCTCCCTGACCTGTGGTTGCTAGAGAATGTACACAAATGGGAATCATTGAGCTCATTTATTTACTCAGTTTTTTCACTCTCTTCCACGAGAATGTCACCCCCAGGAGGGCTTTTCTCTCATGATCACAGCTGCATCCCCAAAGACTAGAAGAGAGTAGGTGTTCATTTTTTAAAAATTGATAAAGGAATGAAAATGTGTTCTAAGCAAATCACTGGCCCCAGCCTTTCTCTCTGTGAAATGAGAATAATTGTGCTGACCTTACAACAACACTGTCACAAGGATAAGTGAGATTGTTTTAAAAAGTGGAGACAGGCTCAGCACCCATCGCTCAGTGGTTAGGGCACCGGCCACATATACCGGGGCTGGCAGGTTTGAAGCGGCCCCAGGCCTGCTAAACAACAATGACAACTACAATAACAACAAAAATAGCCAGGCACTGTGGCGGTCACCTGTAGTCCCAGCTACTCAGGAGGCTGAGACAAGAGAATCACTTAAGCCCAAGAATTTTTTTTTTTTTTTTTTTTTTTTTTTTTTTTTCCGAGACAGAGCCTCAAGCTGTCCCCCTGGGTAGAGTGCCATGGCATTACAGCTCACAGCAACCTCCAACTCCTGGGCTCAAGCGAGTCTCTTGCCTCCGCCTCCCAAGTAGCTGGGACCACAGGCGCCCGCCACAACGCCCGGCTATTTTTTGGTTGCAGCTGTCATTGTTGTTTGGCGGGCCCGGGCTGGGGATTCGAACCCACCACCTTAGGTGTACGTGGCTGGCGCCTTAGCCGGTTGAGCTATAGGCGCCGAGCCAAGCCCAAGAATTTGAGGTTGGAGTAAGCTGTGATGCCATGGCACTCTGAGAGTGACATAGTGAGACTCTGTCTCAAATAAGGGCCAAGTACATAGCATCCTAATCCAACTCCATGGGGAGGAAGCTGAGAAACTCATAATGATTAAAAAACTCCCAAGAACCCTAGGGAGATGGGATTATCAGGTACCTGTTACTGAGGAGGAAACTGAGGCCCCAGGAGGAGAAGTAACTGGCCCAAGATTACAAGGTGAGTTAAGCGCCTGTGCATTTTGCTGTGGCAATGCCCATGCCCTACCTATGCCCCTTGGCACAGTGATATTCCCCCTTCTACACCTGCTGAGATTCCACCCAACACAAATACCATCTCCTTCAAGAGACCTCCCCTAATTGCCCCCTACGTATTCGCTATCCTGCAGTTCCTGTTGTAGATTAGGCTCTCAGAAGGTGGATTCTGAGAGGGAGATTCATGTGGAGACATTTCTTAGGGGGTATTCTTGAGATGGATGCCTGGTTGGGGAAGGCAGGGAGGAGGCAGATGGGACAGAGGGAGAACTTGGCTGTGATGTCACAACAATGTCCTCAATGAATCCCATGGACAGTGATGAAATCTGGGTTGACCTTTAGAGTTGTCTAGAGTTGGGACAATACCTTGAAACTCTCCCAAAAGACAGATATTGGATGTGACCACCCCTGAGGGCACTTCCCAGAGAGTGATGCAAGCTGATGCTCACCCCCCTTACCCTCTACCTCTCCACCATTGCTCCTAGCAGCTTGGAGGAGGGTTCAAGGGTTCCTTAGCCCAGAATGGGGATCTTAGGGGCTCACTATAGTGTCCACTGTGCGCCCAATATAGTTGCTGCTAATTTATTTTCCTCCCAGTCTCCCAGATCCAGATTCAGCCCCTGGGCTTGGGGTGGGGACATTGGCAGCAACCCTGGGTTTGACAGCACCCCCCAATCCCAGGCCCGGACTAACCTAGCCTGAGGACTAAGGAGGCCTCAAGCCAGGCTCACTGGAGTTCCCCACAACTGTCCTTGCCTGTGCCGAAGCGTCCAGACGCTGCACGTCTCATTGTCCAAGCCCAGGAATGCTGCCAGAGCAGCCCCATTGAAGCCAAGAGGGGAGAGAGTGGTGATGACAGCTTTTGTCATTTGGTTCACCGTGTGGCAGCTTTGGGTGAGCACATCCTATCCTTTATCTCATTCATGGCCACAACCTCCCTGTTGTGAGAGAAGGCATCTGTTATGAGCCCCACTGACAGATGAGGAAACTGAGGGTCAAAGACAGGAAGTTGCACACTTGGCCTCTTAGACTTTTCCATAGAAAGGGACTGAGCCAAGACCCCCAAATCCAGCAGGCATGACTGTATCAGGATACTATTTATTCTATCATCTGTCCTCTAGGGAGATACCAGCACTCCCCATCCCACCAGTAGGTTCGAAGTTGGCACTGCTTTAGCCTTGTCTCTCCCAGAGTCAACACTGGCATGGGCCTGGGTGCTGCTTCCTGCTGGGGGACCTGGTGATTTGGGTCTTGTGGATGAGCCGGATGCCCCCCCAGTCCTCTTCCAGCTTGATGTCCCCCTGCTGCAAGGCCTGCTGGATGGCATTGGCAAGGGTGTCAAAGGCCAGGTCCACATTGAGGTTGCTTTTGGCTGAGGTCTCCATGAAGGCCATGCCCAGGGAGGTGGCTAGCTCCTCTGCTTCCTGGGCTGAGACACAGCGGGTGCTCTGTAAGTCACTCTTGTGGCCAACCAGCAGGAAAATCGCTTTGTCTGGGCCTTGAGTTGCAGTGACCTCCTGGTGCCAGTCTTGGATGTGTTCAAAGGACTTCCTGTTTGTCACATCAAAGACCAGCAGGACACCCACCACATTCCGGTAAAAGGACCTGGTGATGCACCTGGGAGGTGGGGAGGGAAGTTGGGAGAGACTTATGCCTTCAAGACACCCCCAGAGTCAGGACCTCTTCCCTGCTGGGATCCACACAATGCCTTGCACCCCATTACAGTTCATCACACACTGCCAGGTGCTTCTGTCTGCATGTCTGTCTCTCCCAAGAGACTGGGTGCTCCCAGGTAGAAAGCAAATGTGATTCACAGACTCTCCAGACTCCCTCTCCACTCCCGGAGGAGGCCTGATGTTTCCTGACTGCGGGTCTTTGCTTCTCTATTCCCTCCCCTTCAAGGCCAACACAGTCTCTCTTGCTTTGACAACTCCCTGACACTGCCCCTCTGTGCTCCATAGCCTGTCTTAGCTCCCAGGTCCAGAATTCAGAGTCAGAGTGCAAGTCCCCTCCCCTCCAAATGTTGCTCTGGGAGTTGGCCCACCCCGCAGTATTTGTAGGATGAGCGACCCAGCGAGGGAGGGGCCGACCCGGCAGACCGGGACCGGCACAGAGACCACAGACCTCTACTTGACCACTGAGGTTGGCACGTGTGGGGCGTCCCTCCCAAGACCGCCTCCCCACACCAACCCCTGCCGCGCTCCAGCGGGCCCTGCACCTGAAGCGCTCCTGACCCGCGGTGTCCCAGAGCTGCAGCTTGACGCGCGGGCCGGCCCGCAGCTGCAGCGCGCGGCGGTAGAACTCGACGCCCACCGTGGGCTCAGGCTCTGGCTCCGGTTCTGGGGTCCCGGGCGCCCCAGACACGTAGCGCCGCAGCAGCGACGTCTTGCCCACCGCCGCGTCCCCTAGCAGCACGATCCGAAACTGGTAGTGGCAGCCTCCAGCCTCCATGGTCCCTGCCGCGGCCCCAGCAGCTGTTTGTCCTGCAAGGCTGTGCCCCGCCCGGCCCTCCCACCCCAAGCGCCCTCCCCAAGTCCGGCGCCGCCCCTGCTTCAGCTGCAGGCAGCCGCAGGCAGGACTGGGGAGCCTGACACGTCTCCAGCACAGTGGGGACTGGGCGCCAGGGAGTCCTATCGACCTTCCTAGCGAAAACATCTGGTCAAGTCACTGTCTCTCTCTGAGCCTCAACTTTCTCCTCTGTAAAATGGGGATAATAACCCCTACATCTCAGGGTTAAGGGATTCCTAGACAATTTGGGAAGGATAACCCCAGTGTGCACTGCCCTAAGAGACAAAGTGAAGCATTTGCCTCCTGACCCTTATTGCTTCCCCAGGGGTCCCTGATGCTGGATCTGGGACCACTACTCTGGAACCTGGGTGGTTTGTAGGTGCTCCGTCTCCATCCAGTTGCCCTTTTCCTAGAACCCCATTGGCCCTGGCCTGGTGCCTCTGGTTCAATGTTCAACAGCCCCCACTACTTCCTCCATAACTGTGTTGGACAGCAGGGCCCCAGAAGGGACTTGGACATACAGTCAGATTTAGGAGGCAGGGCAGACACGGCCAACTGCAATTCTAGAGGAGGGCAGTTGACCTGTGGACTAGACAACTAACATGTATGAGGCTAGACGGTCAGTTCTCTGTGATTCATGGGCAGCACAAATCATAGGAGCACAGTGTGCCCATTTTAGAGCTGAGGAGACTGAGGCTCAGAGTCATGGCTTGTACCAGGTTCTAAGTTTGTCTCACCCTTCATTATTCCTCTGATGCCACAAAAGGGGACCCCAAGGCTGAGCACGATGGGTCACCCCTGTAATTCTAGCACTCTAGGAAGCTGAGGTGGGAGGATTGCTTGAACTCAGGAGTTCCAGACCAGCCTGAGCAAGAATGAGACCTTGTCTCTACTAAAAATGGAAAAATGGCATTGTGGAGCACACCTTTAGTTCCAGCCTTGGGAGACTGAGGCAGGAGGATTGTCTGAGCTCAGGAGTCTGAGGTTAGAGCCTTAACTCACTGTCTGCCACTGCACTCTACCTATGGTGACAGAGTGAGATTCTCAAAAAAAAAAAGGAGGAGACCCCAAGAAGGCAGGTCCCATGAGAACGAGAACATTGTGGTTGGCTCTTGTTGGGTTAGGGACTAGGGTACTGCATGAGCCAGTCCATTCTTTCCAGGTTGGCCTTCTGGAAATCCAGACCATTAAGTCTGGAGTTCTGGATGGTTCCAAACAGCTTTGGTCTATTGGTCTGCTCCTTTATCAACCCACTGTGCCACTGTGGGTGGATTTTACCAGTTTAATTTTTTCTAGCAAATTGGCAATGGCAGGGAAGTCCAAACTGTTGAAATTTAGGATATCATCACCTCTTTCTAGAGCAACCTTGTGAATAAATATTCTGCCCATTTGTACAGATGAGGAAACTGAGGCTCAGAGAAGTTAAATTACTAGCCCAAGGTTACTCAGCAGGGAAGACTTAAGACTAGCTGCCAAGTCTACACAAGGCTAAAGCCTTGTTTGTTATTTTTGTTCTTGGCTGGATCTGGGAAGACCCAGGTTTATTCTGGCTTGTTCTAAACAAATCACTGGAAAGCTATTTTATCACATCTGACTATTGGTCACTTGCACAGTCAACCCTGAAAGGGTCCGAGTCTCCATGAGTAGAAGAGAGAGAGGAACTTGGGAATCTGGGAATCAGAAAGAGCCTCAGAAAAGGGGAAGGTCTTCCCCTGCCAGTGCTACCCAAACCAAGAGATCCTGCCCTAATGATTCCTTCATCAAAATGTTCTCCCACCTCTCTCTGTTCAGCTTGAAAAATTTCTTTTGTATGTGGCCCCTGTGGATGCCCTCAGCTCCTTCTCTTATCTTC